ATTGTCTTTACTGTTATTTCTACAGCGGGATGAGTATCGCTGTCATGTTCAGATAAACTTAGCTAACTCCTTTCTAAATGCCTACTTGGCATCCTCATCTACCAAACGATGACATGGGTTTCACTGCCTGTCTCCCGCGGCCAGTAGGGCGTGGAGATTCACGAACCCCTACTAGCACTTGATCGGAGTCTAAACAGGTGCTCACTCCAGAAAGGGCGGCAATCCTCCACCGATCCTCTCCAACGGTGGCTTATAACAATGTGATATAGCTATGTCGACCGTTGGTTTGAGGTCGGCGGACTCCATGTGAGATAATGTCTCTTCTTATGTTAGTTAGTGCTGACCAGAAACAAGTGATTATCGGAACACACTTTCAAGAGGCGATCACAGTTGTCGGTTCGTTGGCATGGGATTCCGTAAATTCCCCGAAGGTGCCTTTTCGATTGGCCCAGCTTCCCTACTTGAGCGTCAAACTCACCTGCTATTATGACTATATCTGAACGCTTTGCTTTCCGTTTCAAAACTGACAGCTCACAGAAGTCATCCTTTACGCCATCCGAGCTGCAGTCAGTGGGTATTTAGGGGGAGATTGCGAAGGAACATCGGTTGGTCTCACGATCCTTCTTGGTCTCTACAGCACACAGACAACTGTTGACTTTTATACACTTGAGAAGTGCGCTTTCTGCCCTACAGATATGGATGCACTAGGAAGTCAGTGAGAGCTAGCCATTAGGTTTCTGGATACTCGTAAGGTGGATTTTGAAGATTAACTACAATGATCTGGTGAGGTCAATTTAATAGTCACACGTAGGTCCTGTATACGTGTCTCAAAAACACAACACATCTAGGGCTAGAGATTTTGGAGTTTTGGCGAGTGATGATTGCTGCCATATTCGGAATAGAGTTCAGACTTTGAAAACTCCCACAGGAAATCGATGGTGGCGTCTTAGGAGACTAGGAATGAGATTTTAATGGCTTTGTTCCTTCTCAGTGGTTGCAGAATGAGAAGTTAGGGAAGGTGTAAGAGGTCTAATATTAGTATCAGGAGGTGGAGGTAAAGGAAGGAGACAGAGTTGAAGTGGACAGGTTGTTGGACTGGGTCTTTCGCATTATTGGAGGCGTGCAGGTGGTTGACACTTCCCGGCTGCCCACACCGTGAAAGGCTAGTTCTTCTTAAGTTGCCGGAAGAAAAGATAGTGTGTGACCGCAGAGTCCATGAAAAATCTGCTTGAGGCCAGTCACACATGATCGTTTGTCAATTTCGAAATTTTGTTTTTTGCTTTCCTACTGCCATCCTTGAAAACTTAGGGTAGTCAATTATCAAATGCTTCCGCTGTGCACCGTTTCAAGTTCGATGCAGCCTTCTCAACTTCAAGGAAAATTGGGGAACAGATCTCTAGGTCTTATTCAAGTTCAAGCTGAATATTGAGAAACTGAAGCGTTGCTGTGTGTCAGTTGAACTGTGCTTCGAAGTACTGCATCACACTTTTTAGCCATGTCCTGAGTAGTTATGAGTATTCCATCCTTTTTGGTCTTGGTTCCGCTGGCAGGAATATGACCTATCTGTTTCCACCGCTGAGTTGAATACGGTAGATGCTACATCACATACATGAGTGGGTTTGGGGCTCATTGGTTTAGGGATATAACTTCTAAGTGATGGGCTACGAGTTCGAACCCTGTTCCACCTACCGAGGTTTGAGAAGCCAGATAGTATCATTAGTCCTGACACAATAGGTGTTGCTCATTGCCTACTGCGCAAATATGTACAAGGTTGCTGAGTGTAATTCGATTCGGATGCTACATCAAACAGTGTCTCTATGTCTGAAGTTCGTGCTGACCAGAAGTTAATGGTTGTCTGAGGACAGTTGTACCAGGTAGTTGCTGTTATCTGTTCTTTCGACTGGGATTCCAAAAGTGTCGCATAAATGCTTTTCTACCTGACGTAGCTTACTTACCAGTACATTAAAATCATCTGCAACGACAACCACATCTAAATATTGGCTTTGATTTGGCTAGACAGTTTTTAGCAGAACTCAGCCTCCACTTCTAAACTGCAGTCAGTGGGTATGTAACCGGAGGTTATAAAAAGTCAACAGCGAGTTTCACTACTCTTTTTAGTCTTTCCTCTGCCGTTTAGTCGAACAGCTCATAGGCGAGTGTCAACCGGGATCCACTCAAACAGTGCTTGTTCTTCTCAATGCTATCCTATACCTGGGAGACCACGGAAAATAAGCATAGAATCTCTAGAAACCCTAAGGGTGTTTTAGCGGGTATCCCATCTTGACCGGACGAGGCTAAACTAATAACCGCACTTGGGTTCTGTATGGATGTCTCACAAATACAGCACGCATCCATAGCCCTAGGTGGTCGTGTTTTTGCTAGCGATGCTTGTTGGCCGACTTAACTGCGGATGTATTATTATCATTAATATTTGTCCCTTGGGTTCCTAATGGAACATAGGGCTTCAGTAGCACGTCTCCAATGCGCTCTGTTCTCTGAAATCTTTTGAACCTGGCTCCACGACAGCCCAGAAGCTCTCATTTCCTCCTCCCACGATCTCCTCCATGTCACACTCAGCTGGGACGTCCAACTCGTCGCTTCCGATGGGGATTCCACTCGAGGGCCTGACGCGTGATGTCCCCAGTCGGCCTTCTCAGTGTATGTCCAGTCCATCTCCACTTCCTTCCAGTGCATATTTGTTGGGTGATAGGTTCTCGATTGGACATTGAAAACCCCAATGTATAATTTGGAGCAGGATTTCAGGAGACTGTTGAAGCTGTTCTGTGAACTCAGGTAGGTCATTGCCAAGAGCTGAAAGAAATTAAGGATGATTTAAGATTATTGACCAGGAGATATGAATAAAGATCATAAGTTAAGGATGTGGACGGTGGATAGTTATCTGAGAGAACTTGCGTACTGACGGAGTTGTGTGAACGGTTGACACTTCTTGGACGCCCATACTATACAAGGCTAGTTCTTCTCAGTGGTTTCCATCAATAATTGTTCCATTCCGTAAGAAAGGACTGAGATTATTTTGTGATAACTAAATCCAGGACTGGGAACTTTAATCAGTGTAGCTAAAGATTGATCTCAGTGGTGCAGGTGCATTTATACTTCACATTTTAATTATTACGGATTTTATTACACATTGAAATGGATGGCAATGCATATTTGCAGTAATTGATAAGCATTAATTGATTTACCGATAATATTTGTATCACCTCTAGTTAACAGCTTTTTATTTAATGATAAATTCATAGTTTTGTTATCGTCACCTTATCTTTTGTATATCAGTGACACTTAAGTTCACAATAAGATATTCAATACAACCATTCAACTAAAAGTTCTTTGTTGCCATTTGTGTTTAATTAGGTTTAGGGGAAATATAGGCTTTCAGGTTTCTTTCGATGAGGAAACTAAATTAGGTAATTGAAAATTTTAGAGAATACACAGTTTAAATCCAACTTCAGTTACATAAACGCATTCATATCTTCATCATAAATCTTCATTTCATGTATCATCACTCATGTTCTCTGTTCGCATTGTGGTGTTTCATCCTTCTCTTTCAGTGTTTTATTGCCTTATTGTTAACTTTTGCATCAATGTTCTCTTATGAAGCACGGTAATTGAAAACCTATATGCAGTCGTGCTAAATTAGTTGATGCGAATGCCTGTTAATGAATTACCTCTGAATCATCCACTTTGAACCTCGCTAGGTAGAGTGAAGTCCGAACTCGTGGCTGACTAGTTGCTCCTGTGGAGCTAGTTAATATAGACCACGCAAAGCGCGCACTTTCCAAACATGTCTCTGAGCACCATCCTGCATGGTTGCTGATCAACACTTCATTTCTTAAACATTTGGTCAACTTTGGAAACATATAGTTCTACCAGAGTTCTCCTTCAGTGTCATCTACAGAGTCAAAGGGAATAGTTTAAAAGGAGTATGCCTTTGACAGTTGTGGACGGCAGAAGCACTAGCAACTAACCAATTCAGCCCTTTACTCCTGCGTACAAGAGAAGTATATTCAATCTCTTATCTTACTATAGTCTTAACACTTAGTTTTCCGACCTCATTATAGTTAGTTTATTATTAACACCTTAATTATGACTCCTATCTCCTTATTTACTTTCTTTATATCTATCAAGTAAACAGTCAACCGTTTCGCATTTTTTATCTACCGAAATCTCCACCTTTTCAAACTCTTTGTCTTTCTCGTCAGTTCCATTGTCTAAAAGTTTATTAGGTAACCGTTTTCCATTCTTGATTTTGGTTTTTCAGCGCTAGCTTAGTGATGGAATTATGCCTTATTGTTTCATAATAAACTGTCATACGTTTGTGATATATATATATATGTCAAAAAAGCAAGGAGAAATGAGGAAATACTGAGAATAAGTATAATGATTCAGATGAGAACAATGTGTAGATACATCTTTGTCATTTAGATCGATCCAAATCCATGTTGCCTAGATTTTTCAACCTCTAACTTCTGTTGCTATGCGGACCTAAACCGGGAAGTCTACATCTCCCTACATAGCTTAGATGAACAGTGAGAGATTTCAGTGACTGGAAAGGAGATTTATGTTTTATTTATTTATTTTTATCCTGACATAATTTGAGAACCATGTAAATAATCCAGGGCCTAGCATACCTGTTTATCTAACCAAGTTGCCACGACCCACACTATCACTTTGTAATAGGAGTCAATTGAAGAAAAGATAAGGCAGTGAGAAAAATAATATCACTAGTTGTAAAAAGGCAAAAAAAGAAGGATGGACATACATGGAGTAACTGGTTATCATATTATGACTTAGGTCAGGATAAGGGATGAACGAAATGGTACCGCTGCTACCGATTTTTTGCCATATCGGAGATGTAGTGAGTTAGTATGGGATAAACAGTCATGAAAATATAATATTCTCAAATTTGTTCAACTCTTGTCGATTATGATTCGTTATTCAATGTGTTACACAATGAAACGGTATTATTGTTCTCTTGACAGATGGGTTTGACGCGAAAAGTTCTGTCACCAGCTGAGTTACGTCAGTGGACTGCTTCAGTTGCTTGCAATGATCTTCTTAATTTGATCAAAAGTGTTAACAATAAATTGGTCTCACGTCCAGTTCAAACAGACTTGTTGGTGTCAAAGGTATTGGAATGCAATATCTTCTTTTTTTTAAAAAACTAACCATTTCAGGCCATAGTATCGGTATGCGAAGTACTTGAGAAAATGCAACAGGCAGTAAATGATTACCCACCTGAGGAGCAACCACAACGATTTGGAAATAAAGCCTTCAGGAACTGGTTTGCATGGCTGAAAGAAAATGCTGTTGGAATTTGTACCAATATATTTGCTAATCACGGCTGTGAAGATTTCAGTAATCCACCGAGTTAGTTGATTGTAGGCTAAAATTAATCATCAATGCTGTTTAGTTCGTTGTATTTAAGGCTTTTGCCTATATAGGGGCGTATGTATCTATGGAAATAACACATATTCGTTTAAAACCTTAGTCTAGTTAGTTGCTAATGCGACTTTTGCTGTTCCTCTAATGTCTACTTCGCCTTAGTATTTTACGGTTTGATATTTTCTACTGCGCTTAAGACTTGCGATTTACTTTTAACTAAGCACTGAGTTTGTTTGCATGTAGGTATTTGTCTTACTTTGCTTTTGTGGTTCCCTCCCCCCGGGACTTGAAACCTATCAGAAAAATGTCAGTGCAGAGCCTGTAAGTTATGTGGTTCGATGTAGTTAACAGTCTTCGAAAACACTCAGATCCTCTGGGTCGCTAAAAAGAGTCAAACTGATAACGATAATAATTGATGTCGGCAGCTTTCCTGCATCGTGTGCTTGGCAAGATAAATAAGTATATTGATGAGGTTGAGAACCTTCATCGTCTTAGCTTGGACATGTATTGCGCATGCTGAGCCACCGCCTATCTTGACGTGGCATGCCAAGTTGGAAGAGGGAGGGTTCAGGGTGGCCAGACCAATACGTGACACTAGTCGATGAAGTCCCTGTCTGTTGGTCTGAGCCTTTGTAAAGAGATGTAGACTACTTGGTTGAGCCGTCCGAGACGATAGGAATCGGTGATTGAGGACTCTTGGTGACATGGCTGAAAACCGGTGACAACTGTGCAGGTGTATTCACTCTTTGAAGCTTAAATATACGCACTAATCGTTTTCTTCAAATCACTTATTCTCTCACACAACTTTGTTACTTTGATATCAGTCTTATTCCATCCGCCTGTTTTTTGTATGCTGCTGTGAAGTGTGGCAAGTTGGATCGATGCACTTGTGTGCGAGGTTCTTCGTTGAATATATTACGTCATAACATGCCATTCAAGTTGCCACATTTCAAACCAGTATATCAAGATACAAAACGGCAAGATGGTAGGCAGAGAAAGAGAACAAATGCAACTGAAGGTCGAAGCAAGTTAAAAGTGACAGATTAAGCTAATAAAAATGTCTGAAATAATGAATAGGATGAAGTTGAAACGTGTATACTTTCCCGCTAATGATTACCGATTGTGTCATATAAGCTAGCATAGAATCACTGACTTCAAGTTGTATCCCGGACCATGGCCGGGTAGTTTAAATTTTATGTATGGTTCAGATCAGTGGTCAAAGACTTAACGAACCTTTAACCTTTTTCCAGCTGGACTTGCTTGAGCTAATATCACAAGTTGGGGTAGGGATTTAGGAAACATGTTCCAACTACTTAAGTTGTCGAAGGTTCACAACCTCATCAGCTGACCTGCCCTTTTTATCTAGAACTCTACGCTTAACCTCTTCGCTACACACTTGTTGGTTCCACGACATGCAACGAATGCTGTGAAGATGAAAGTGGTGGGACACTATCAGCGTTCACGTATCTTCCCCCTTTAATAACTGTCTCGCATCTGTAGCTTAGAATAAAACGAAGTAGTATGCAGTTGATCAGCATAGTGATTATTTAGTTTCGAATTTCCTAATTGGCTTCGTTTGTCCTTCTTTTCAATATCCTTCGTCATGTTCACAGTAGAACCTGTCAGTTTACCATCTGAAGTTTCCAAGGTCGGAGGTAGGAAGTTGCTAATTAAAGTGATAGCGGTACTAGACGGTGTATGGGAATCAGAGCTAGTACCGTCAAACCAATCTACTGCACTGATCTTGCTACTCCATAAGAAGGAAGAGAAATCTTGTGACAACCACAGGAGAACCCGTCTGACTAATGCTGTGTCCGAGATCTTAGGATCTATTGCTATCCGATGCCTAACTGGAGCTCCGGAAAACCGTACAGGTTTCAGACCTGCATGAGGTTGCGTCGATCACGTTTTTACCCTCCGACAGGTTCTGGAACATAGGCATACTTATCGGCTAGTGACCGACACTTGTCATATTTTTTGACCTGAAGGTGACATTTGACTCGGTCGACTGTGAGGGGTTGTGGCAGTGTCTAACTGTTAAGAGAATACTGAGCGAGCATAAAACGCTTATCAAAGCTCTCTACTCAAACTCAGGCAGCTGTGTCAGGGCTTATGGAGAGTTGACAGTGAAGTGACAACAACTAGTGGTGTCCACCAGGGATGTCCACTGTCACCATCGTTAGTTATCTTCCTCATTGACGTACTAATGGACATAACCTTAGGTACGTCTGACCTACTCTCTGGAGGTCATCTGGTTGACATCCCTGGTTAGATGTGTTGAAGACTTCACTTACTTGTAAATTTGCACCAACCCGAACAGATTAGTTGCTGACGAAATCTCAGCTCGGATACAGAAGACACCCGTCTATCATTTGCCAACTTGCGTCATCTATGCGCCAACTGGCGAGATAAGCGGCTATCTGTGAAAGGACGAGTATACTACACTGCAGTCCGTTCTGTACTGTTATGCAGTTGTGAGACTTAGCTGTTGAGAATAGAAGACATGAAGCGACTATTCGGTTTTAATCACATATGTCTTTGTGAGACTGCTCGTGTTTGGTGGAATCACCGTGTGAGCAACGTTGAACTCAGGCGAAGGGTACTTGACAATGCAACTGAGATGGATTGAACATGTACTGCACGTGCCGAATCACCGTCCACCTTGATGTGCGATTCTAGGGGAATTTGGATTAGGTTGGAAGAGGGAGCGTTCAGGCTGGGAAGAGCAAGACTTGCCGCCTGTCGATAACATTGTTGGTTGTTGGTCTTTGACATGTGGAAAGGTGTGAGCTCTATTTTTCCAGGGTTCAGAAGCTGATAAGCATCAATGGTTGAGGACTCTTGATGACAGCTGGAAATCGGTCACAATGGTGGCGCAGATGTATTCATGTCTTGACATCTCAAACTTGAATATTCGCACTAACCTTTATCTTCATATTGTCTTATTTTGTTAAGGAAATTATAGACAGAAAGCCTGAATATTTATGCCTTAGTTGGTCGCACTGACTTTCTACACTAAATATGGCTCATAGTTTAGCTAGTTAAAGTGTAGATGTTTGTTCATCTCTATGTGTTATTGTATTTATTATCTGGTATAAATTGTTATTGTTCTCTCTTCAGTTTCATTTACCGATGCACTTGATGAAGTGTCTGGTTACTTAGTTGAATCAGTTGGAAACTCAACACGAATTGATTATGGAACTGGTCATGAATTAGCTTTTTTAGCATTTTTAACTTGCCTTTTCAAGCTTAACATACTACGAAAAGACAATGAACCAAATTCCCATACTGTTAATGATCTTCTAGCTATTGGTGTTATTGTAATGCCAAAGTATTTAAACTTAGTTCGATTATTGCAAACAACATATCGTATGGAGCCTGCAGGTTCACATGGTGTTTGGTGTTTAGATGATTTCCAGTTTATACCGTTTATCTGGGGAAGCAGTCAACTTATTGGTAAGTGTAATGATTAATTTTTACTTAACTTATCTAAGTGTAACATATTTTAGTATCATAATGTGTTGTAGTTAAGTCTTCCTGAAATAATATTGATTGGGGATACGAACCTAACACGCAAAACTAATTGATTCTAAACGCTAATCAGAACGTCCACCACCACCACAACAATACCGTCGATATGCGAGGACTAGAAGGGAAGATGGACATTGACAGAGATCTTTTTATTGTCTCAACAACAGTTAAAACAGTTGAGAGCGATACTGAATACATACATTTCCAAACGACCTTGACAACATTAGATTTACTGATAGGTTAAAAGAGTTAACAACCAATAAGAATTCAGCCTTCAGAAGCAGTGGGAAAAATAAAAGATAGAAATGGCGTTAAGAATTTCAACTTCAAACGTCTGTTTCACATAGGGACAGTGCTTTATTTACGAAAAATGGACATACGTACACAACACACGACCTAAGTCTTTGCAAGAACTGGCGCGGAATCATGCTCCTGCCTACCCCAAGCAAAATATTAAGCCGCATCTAACTGGAGCGACTAAAAGGTACTCTAGATTCAAAATTACAACCGCAACAGGCTGACTGGCTTCAGGAAAAACAAATCAAATTGCAACATTACACTACGCATCATCATGCAACAGAGCATAGAATGGTAGTTAACTCTCTATTTCAACTTCATCGATTCTGAAAAGACCTTCGACAGCGTCGACCCAGAAGTAATTGGGCAGATGCTTCAACACTATGGTTTTAGTGCCACAAACCTTTTTCAACCTCATTCAACAGCTGTATGTTATATGACGAGGCTACATGCCAAGTGATTCACAATGGAAAGCTCAGTGATGACTTTGAAGCGAAGTGAAGACAGGAGTAAGACAAGGTTGCCGCCTACTATCACTCATGATCTGCCTGATTGTGGTCGACTGGACTGGATTGGATTATGCAACAAACTGTGAGGAGCCCGAAGAAGGGCATACACTGACTGGAACGATGAAAAGACTCCAGAAGATTGGATTTCGCCAACGATGATGATTTATGTCTAAAATCTTGTCGCACAAACTCGAGATCTATAGGCGAAAACCAACAAGTTGGCAGAAGATGCAGGGCTGCGAAGACGGGACTTCTTTAGGTGAACGTAAAGGAGACAAGGGTGATGAAGATACCCAACCACTACCACCACCATCAACAACAAGCACCAATCACCATCAACGGGAGAAACCTAAAGGAGATTGTCTCTTTCACCTACCTAGGCAGGGCAGCATCGTTTCAACTACAGGTGGCGGGGGCACAGATAAGGATGTCAAAGCCAGGATCAGAAATACAGCAATACAGGCCTTCATTAACCTGAAATCAATGTGGAGATTTACTGCACTGCACCGCACTTCACTCCACTCAGCATAAAGCGTGAATGAGATTTGACTTTTCAACACTAACGTCTGTCAAGTCAGTGCTTCTATGTGATAGTTGAGAGACTTGGTTGTGCGTTACGAAAAGCATTTCCAACAAACTAAAGACATGCATCATCAACAGCTACCGTCTACGTTCACTCGGTACTGAAGATCAGATCAGAAGTCCAGAAAAAGTAAGCAACATGAAACTCACTCTGGCTGGCAACGAACCAACTAAGAACCCATCGCCCAACAAATATGTAGGAGAATGTGGAGATGCATTGGACTGGGCGTACGCTCAGAAGACCGTTTGGGGAACATCATGCTGCAAACCAAGCCCTCGAGTGGAAGCCAATTGGGAAACAAGTTGGGCGTCGGTGGGTGACATGGAGGATGTCGTGTGGGGAAGAAATGAAAACTTCTGGGCAATCGTGGAGCCAGGTTGAAAGGACTGCAGAGAACAGAGTGTAGTGGCGACGTGTTACTGAAGCCCTATGTTCCACTAGGAACCCAAGGGACAAATAATAATAAATAATGTGAGACGATCGTCGTGATTTAGTACCCTAATAGAAAACGCCTAAGCGTTTGAATCGGTGTGTGTTGGATTCAGGTCTCAGTGGGTAGGGCACTTTCGTTGCTATACTGCGTCGAATATCTCGACCTCACTTGGCAGATGAGCTCCTATTCGGATGCCTCGATACTGTCCGGTTACTCATTGTATTGACAAACTACTGAAAAAATCAACGTAGAAACTATCATAGTAGTGCATCGGCTCAAGCTGCCACATTTCACAGAAGTACACAAAGAACAGGTGAATAGAAAAGACTGATATCAAAGTAGATAAAGTTGTGTGAGAGAATCAACAATTTGAAGATAACGGTTGGTGAGAAGATTTAGATTTCAAGCAGTGAATACATCTGTACCGCCCTTGTCACCGACTTCCAGCCATGTCCCCAAGAGTCCTCAACCACGGCTTCCTCTTGTCTTGGGGATCCCAGTCAGGTAGTCTACATCTCACATACACGTCTCAGACCAATACTAACAGACTTCATGGAACGGTGCCACATCTTCGTCTCGCCACTCTGAGTCCTCCCTCTCCCAACATAATTTAAATCTCCCTAGAATCCCTAGCTGAACGTAAGCGGTGGCTCGGCACGCACCTTACATATCCGAACCATCTCAGTTGACTAAGGTTCACAACCTCATCAATCGACTTCCCTGTCTTCCCTAGTATCCTTTGCCTGACCTCACAGTGATTCCACTAAACACGAGCAGTGCTACGAAGACACGAAATCAAAACCAAGTAATCGCTTATTGTTTTCTACTCTCAACGGCCATATCTTATAGTCATATAACATGATAGAATGGAATGCAGCACAGTATACTCGTTCTTTGATGGATAGTTGCCACTGTATTGTATTATGCTTGGTGGCTAGCAGTCCTATTGTTGTCTTCTGTTTCATTTCAGTGTTATTTAGTTGATTATGCATTACTTTCGTCTAATCTGATTCTTTTCTTATATCAATAGGCAATTCTCAGTATGATCCGACCGTAATACCGAATCGTGAAGTCGCTGAACGTGAAAAGGACAAGTATCTTTTTTTTTCATGTATTGCCTACATTTATCAGGTAAATATTCCTCTCTCTCTCTCTTACTTCATTTTCGAAGTTATCATTTCGGCTTTTATGTGGTTTGCAGCCAGAACTGCGTAATTATTAATTAATTGGTTGATTAAGCAATATGCATAACTATTGTTTTGTTACGCAAGACAAGCCTTCCTTCATTAATCTGAAATGAGTGTGGAGATCTACTGTGTTCAACTCAGCATAAGGAACGAGATCCAGATTTTCAACACTAATGTCAAGTCAGTACTTCTGTTTGATGGTTCAGAGACTTGGCTGTGCGTTACAAAAAGCATTTCCAACAAACTACAGACATACATCATCAACAGTTGCCGCCTAAGCTCACTCGATAGTCACTGTAGAACAGGTGGCCAGAAAGACTAAGGAACAAGGAACTCTGGCCTAGCAATGAACCAACTAAGAACGTATCGCCCAACAAATATGCAGAAAACTGGACATACACTGAGAAGACCATTTGCGGAAATCGCGCGCCAGGCCAGACCCTCAAGTGGAACCCAAAGGAAAACGACGTGTTGGACGTCCGGGGGTGGCATGGACGAGATCATGTGAAAAAGAAACGAAGGCTTCTGGGCAGGTGTGGAGCCAAGTTCAAAAGACTGGAGAGAAGAGAGTGAATTGGCGACGTGCTACTGAAGCCGTATGTCCCACTAGGAACCCAAGGGGCAAATAATAATAATAATTTTGCTATCCAGCACAACAGATAACGATACAACGCTCCGAGACGATACGATTAACGATAGAATAATGACTTCTCAACTCGATGTTCAGCTGACACCAGAAGAAGACGGTGGGATTGAAAGTTTATTTGCTCCAACCGAATCATAATAAGTGAAAACTCAGTCGTTTATATATCCTTGGCCAGAGAAAACAAAATAACATATTGAAAATGTAAAATGGACCAATCAGCGTTTGGTAACCTAAGCAACATAGCATGGCGCAAAAGGGCTCGAATAGGGCTTAAACTTTACACGATAACGTAACCATATTATAAGTTGTCTTAGCGATTGGCCAACCCTAACAAATAATGACAATAATTGTTTTAGGACTTGTGTAATTTGCAGCCGAGACTGCGTGATTATTATTATTTTGGCGTTTATGTGATTTGCAGCCAGAATTGTGAAGCGATACATGTATTTGTAAACAAAAATTGGTGTGCTCATCACTCCATTATGTGAATGGTTGTGCACTAGGTATTTATCTTGCACTAAGCCAATACACCGCTTCTCCGTAGCTTTTTAAAACATACCTGAGTGTAGGAAATTCATGAAGGGAGATTAAGTTACTTGAGTGCAGGGCATGAAGAAATTGAGAAAAGTTAAGTTTCCTACTTCTGTCATTTCGCGACATAGAGTGACTGTCTACCAAGGTCTGCAGATGGCATCCGCTTCATTTCTAATTGGTTGACCCCACAGGTCGTCATAGCTTCTCATTACAATTTCGGGATATCCATCCGGAAGCCTGTGTTTCCTAATGAGCACTATAGAGTAATGTTTTTTTTAGGTTAATGGATACTTGATTTTTTTAAGGCGGTATTCATCATATGAATAGGAGAAACGTGAAGGTCCCGACTTCGACCTCTAGCCGGGTCATAGGTGTGTACCGCTGAGGAGTCCCACATTAGGATGAAACAGCTGTCCAATGCTCTCAGGTCTTCACTAGTTCTCCAACTAATGTCAATACGCGGTTTTGTGAGCTATTTTTGTCCAGACACACCGCCTCAAATAAGCGAAACATCCGTCGGGTTTAGATCACTTGATGTGGCTGGTGAATTACTACATATCAAGTGGAGTGCTTCCAACTACACGAGTTGTTCAGTAGTAGTATCTGATCTTGGAACGGCTATTGCTTCCAAAGCAGGTTACCTCATTCTTTAATAAACTTGGAAGTACCAGAAAACGTAGCCGATCTGTGACTAAATGTACAACAAAACGGAACGGAGTATGTGTAATTTATTCTGATTAGTCTAACGCAACGCTATGACCATACATCAGGTCGAGAACTTCCATCTCACTTGCTGTGATAGGCTGGTTTGTTGGCCTTCATTTCAACTATTCGCTATGTTTTTCCGCCACTTTAAAGTTCGTACGATATTCGTCTGACTTCCTTTTAAGGAGTTTTTTGTCTTCTTTGTTGTCACACTGACCTTCGACCAGGAATAAAATGTGATCGGTTTGTAGTCATAACTGTCGATTGTAGGATATAAGAAGTCTCCAGGAAAACTTCAAGTATCAGATTTCGTTTCTTTTTTATTTCTGTTAAATCGCCTATAACGTTTACATGTCTAAGCTACATTTGCATTCTAGTGTATTCACTTTGTAAACAAACCTTGATTTTGCTACTAACCTAAAGCGTGGTCTGTATGGCGGATAACTCAATTCAAGGGTATTATCGTACTGTTCTATTTTGAAAATTGACATTCTTCAACAAACTAACAGTGGAACTGATTTTTCCTTGGAATATGCAGTCGTCCACTGCTTCTTGACATACTTCTGAGTTGTTCCAACACCAGCGACTTTTAGGTGATAATTACTCCATCATATCGATTGATGGTTGCAGAGTGGTCAATTCCACATTGTCTAGTCCTGAGTGATGACTGAATTCTAACGATCCTTTTACAGTATGATCACCAAACTAGGAGGTTAACCATTATGGTGCACTTTGATGAATGTTATTTGATTGGATAAAACCAGCGGGAAACCCTACTTGTTGGCCTTCGTCAACAAAATGTATCTACAACCTGAATAGAATTCCATCACCAATCAGGACTGAACAGCATGAAATTGGTTCATCATCAAGATGAACATAGGACCAGGCATTACTACATAACGGTTCAATTTACCACATCTCATATCGGCACATCACGTAACAAGACAATAAAATGGAAGATGAAGAAGGAGATAAAAATCGGTCAAGGGAGGCAGAAATACAAGTAGAAGGTAGTAAAAGAGAGGAAGAAGGGATGTGAAAATGATGAGATTAAGTATGGCGGTTAAGATGAGGATAATGCGTGTAAACATCCGCGCCACTGACATCGATTCTGAGGCATATCATCTAGAGTCAGTCTCCAACCACTGGTTTATCTTGTCCCCAGGACCTCAATCGGCTAGTCTGAATCGCCATACATGGTTGAAACCAACAATCAAGGACTTCATACATTGATGTCATGTTTTAGTCTGGTCACCTCGAGCCTGAGCTAGCCAACCTGAATCTACTTCGGCCAAGATTGTGTAATGAGGTAGACGGTGGTTAGGCATACGTAACACATGTCCCAGCCATCTCAGTCGATGAAGGTTCACAACCGCATCAACTGTTCTACCTCACCCCCCTTAAAGTCTCCACCTGAATTCTGCGTTACTCACGTGATGGCACCACTAAGCACGGCCTATGCTACTAAAGGCAGGGGTGGCCTCATGTTTTCTGCCTTTAATGGCTATGTCTCACATTCGTACTGTAGAACAGAGCGGACTGCAGCACAGTATATTCGACTCTTAATAAACAGACGGATATGTCGGCAGCGTCACAGATGGCATAAATTGGAAAAGCTAGCCGAGCCTTTTGTATTCGTTAAGAGATTTCATCAACCACTGACCAACACACCAGGACTCATCCGACTTCGCAGGTAAGTGAATTGTTCAGCTCGCTCAACCACTTCACTGTCTACTGTTTGTCGGGGTACCTTTGAAGACCAGTTGTGAGGCAACAATTTTTACTTGGGTGGTTAGAACTCATTCAAAACATTCTAAAGTTGACACTCAAGGTATTCAGAGGATTCTGCATGCGTCAGCATCTTCACCTAACAGGACTGTGTTGTCTGCGTATTCTAGGTTGAACAGAAATTCTCCTGTGATTAGGTCACTCACTGTGTATTCAGATGACGGGAGGCAGACCTCCATAAGAGTATCTGTTATAAAATTGAATAAGAATGGAGAGAGTGGGCATCCTTAAGGGACACCACTCGACATATATAACACCCGATATCTCACCATGAAATTAGTTGCTCTTCAGTGACTAATTAATGAACATAATCCAGTGCTATAGGAGGTCAGTCGCGGCCCGGATAGCTCACTGGTACCATATCTGACTGCAGCGCTGAGTGACGTAGGTTGAAGTCTCCTAGGGGACATTAGTTCCGTTGATTTGCCGATGCATGTAATTGACGGGTGTCAGCAAGCTCGAAACGTAGATAAAGCAAGGCCTCCTATCGATTGTCTCCAACCAAAAAATAATATATTGCCTGTTGCTTAGGTGTCAAAGTTTCATGCTTCAAAATTTCGAAGAATAAAAAGAATTATTTATTACTGTTTTGTTAACTACTGAATGACGTCGTCCGGTCTCTGTGTTCAGTATGACATATTTCGGTCTAATCATGAATATTACCTAGTTGCCCAAGTGTTTAGTTAACATGCTGCATATTGGTCACTTACTGTTATCAGTAGCTGCTTAATTTACGTGATTTGTGCATCTTTTCTCGGATGAAGAAGGCATGTTTGTCACTTGCCGAATTGCGTCATCTGTAACGCTGATCACCGAGATATTCTACTGCCTATGAAAGGATGAGTATGCTGCGCTACTGTACGGCTGTGAGACATGGCCGTTGGGAGTACAAGATATTAACCGGTTATAGGGTTTTGATTTCGTGTCTTCGTAGCATTGCTCGTGTTTAGTGGAATCACTGTGAGGTCAGGCAAAGGATACTAGGGAAGACAGGGAAGTCGATTGATGAGGTTGTGAACCTTAGTCAACTGAGATGGTTCGGATATGTAAGGTGCGTGCCGAGCCACCGCTTACGTTCAGCTAGGGATTCTAGGGAGATTTGAATTATGTTGGGAGAGGGAGGACTCAGAGTGGCGAGACGAAGATGTGGCACCGTTCCATGAAGTCTGTTAGTATTGGTCTGAGACGTGTATGTGAGATGTAGACTACCTGACTGGGATCCCCAAGACAAGAGGAAGCCGTGGTTGAGGACTCTTGGGGACATGGCTGGAAGTCGGTGACAAGGGCGGTACAGATGTATTCACTGCTTGAAATCTAAATCTTCTCACCAACCGTTATCTTCAAATTGTTGATTCTCTCACACAACTTTATCTACTTTGATATCAGTCTTTTTCTATTCACCTTTCTTTGTGTACTTCTGTGAAATGTGGCAGCTTGAGCCGATGCACTACTATGCGAGCTTCTACGTTGATTTTGTCCACCTCTCTGTCTGTCTTTTCCATGGGTAACGGATTTGAGCTGTGTGGAGATGAAGAACGGCGATCTATGTTTTTCTGTGATTCTTTAGCATTGTTCACTCCCAATGCTGTATAGGATCAAGTGTAGGTGCTGTTTATTTTGTAATGACCACACTTTTACATTCTTAGAGAATGATAGGTTTTTTTTACACCTTTTAGTCGGATGCTAATAAATCCCTCCATGAATGTTCATCAATGCATTATCTTTGATAATTTTGTTGTCATTTTTCATTTTTCTTTAAATGTTTTAAAAATTCCCATCGTGTAAATTAGAAAAAGACATATATAAGCAAACAATATTGTTTTCAATTAGATCCTCTTCAGGCTGTACGCTAATACAGACAGCTGAATATAAATAAAATTAAACAATCATGTAGATTTGTTGGTCAATGTGTGATAAATGTTTTAAGAATAACGATGGTGATGATAGTAATACAAACAAGAAAAGTGGTAATGTTGACCAAAGCACTTGCAATCTAGATGGTGATGATAAGAACGAAGAAAGCAGCATGAACATATAGACACTCGGATGATTAGAATAGGTCAAAAGCTTGGGAAAATAAAAGTTACGTAATACCGAAGGACAAGGTAAGTGGATAAACAAGTCTAAACAAATATGAAAGGAGTGAAGAATAAGAAAAGGGATAGGAAAGAAAAACTGAGTGATAAAGTTATTTACTAAGTATACCCTGGCCAAGGGAGAGATAAAGGATGTACAAATTCCTTCTGGATACAAAGGCTAGGATTATTAACTCGAATTCCCGCAGCTTCAGCTGTGTGTAAAAGACGAGTTCGAATACCTTTCGAAAGATGAGATGGTATGCAATGAATAATCGTGAAAGCATTGTTCTTATCTACCGAGTGACCACCATCGACGAAATGATAAAAAACAGAACTTCTGATGGATTATATCTGTCCCTTTCCCAACCACGAAGGTAGATGCTCAGCAACACTTCTGATAAGTTGTCTAGTAGTACGCCCTACATGGCTTTCTCCACAGGAGCAGCCTGAAGAAGATGTAATTGAAAACAATATCGTTTCCTTGTATGTCTTGTTCTAACATGTTGGGCCTTGTTTTATTCAGCGTATAGTTTCATATTGCTGTATAGTCTACTCGAATTGTTGTTTGCATTTTAAGACTATGCTACTGCATTATGTTTTCTATCACCTCTCTTCTTCACTAGTGTAAAACTGGTCCATTTGAAGAACACTCAAATACATTGTATGGTATCAGTCAAGTACCGAAATGGGAGAAAGTCAATTCTGGTCTAATTAAAATGTACAAAGGCGAGGTGAGTTATTCCTTCTCTTTCTGTTAATACTACACCTGTAAAAGTGCTAGTTAATAGTTAATTAGCTATATTCAGGTGATCTGAGCTATATTCGGCTATGTAAGCTGAATTTATCCGGATATATCACTGATGATGAGGTCGACTGCAAACGAGCGAAACACCCAGCATCACTCTGATCTAGGCTGACTGTTGTAATCTACAGATAAGCTGGAGTAGTTTCTAACTACTCAAGTTTATTCAGTGATAGTATATTTCGTTAAAACTAGCTCCTGTTTCATTTATGATTACTTGTGTTTTCCACGGTTTGATGTTTGTTCTTGAAGGTTTCATCATCAGTCTAGATAAAGCCTTTACCAGCACTTCCTTCATTAAGAAGTGAATCGTTTTCAAAGATCATAAACTTTTATGCAGAATATTTATGGACGCTAACAGTTATTTTGATTGTGATTGGAGGATAAAAATGCCATTTCTTATTATCTTGTGTTGACTGACTTCTATATAACTTGGATGAAGTATAAGTAGCATGATCATTCAACATGTGTTACGTATGCCTAACCACCGTCTACCTCATCACACAATCTTGGCCGAAGTAGATTCAGGCTGGCTGGTTCAGGCTCGAGGTGACCAGACTAAAACATGACATCAATGTATGAAGTCCTTGATTGTTGGTTTCAGCCATGTATGGCGATTCAGACTAGCCGATTGAGGTCCGGGGACAAGATAAACCAGTGGTTGGAGACTGACTCTAGATGATATGCCTCAGAATCGATGTCAGGGGCGCGGATGCTTACACGCATTATCCTCATCTTAACCGCCATACTTAATCTCATCATTTTCACATCCCTTCTTCCTCTCTTTTACTACCTTCTACTTGTATTTCTGCCTCTCTTGACCGATTTTTATCTCCTTCTTCATCTTCCATTTTATTGTCTTGTTACGTGATGTGGCGATATGAGATGTGGTAAATTGAACCGTTATGTAGTAATGCCTGGTCCTATGTTCATCTTGATGATGAACCAATTTCATGTTGTTCAGTCCTGAGTGGTGATGGAATTCTATCCAGGTTGTAGATACATTTTGTTGACGAAGGCCAACAAGTAGGGTTTCCCTCTGGTTTTATCCAGTCAAATAACATTCATCAAAGTGCACCATAATGGTTAACCTCCTAGTTTGGTGATCATATTGTAAAAGGATCGTTAGAATTCAGTCATCACTCAGGACTAGACAATGTGGAATTGACTACTCTGCAACCATCAATCGATATGATGGAGTAATTATCACCTAAAAGTCGCTGGTGTTGAAACAACTAAGAAGTATGTCAAGAAGCAGTGGACGACTGCATATTCCAAGGAAAAATCAGTTCCACTGTTAATTTGTTGAAAAATGTCAATTTTCAAAATAGAACAGTACGATAATACCCTTGAATTGAGTTATCCGCCATACAGACCACCCTTCGTACTGTGTTCTGTTTACATTGAAGGAATATATTGTCTTATGTTTGATATTCGTGTAGTTTATATAGGCAATAAATTGAAAAGTACCTCTCGTGAGCAATTTATACGTTAAGGAGTGACAGCGATAATGCTGGACGCAATTGGATATTTGTTTTTCATATGTTGGGTAAACCGTTTCGGTTGTTGTGTTCGACGAATCAAATTTCTCCCTTCTGAACAACATTTATATTGTAGAGTTTAATTAAACTTTCAGTTAATTTTTGTCTCTCTGACAGTCCTCCGGGAATATGTTTTGTTGTTGTTGATAATCGATAATTTTTTGTGTTCGCAGTCTTGCATAATCACTCAGTGTTCCTTTTCAAAGAATGTTTATATCATGCTATCGAATTTGAGATCAAACAAATGTACTTTAAAGACGGAGACTTAATTCAAGTACTGAAAGAACATGTTTTACAGTGAAAATTATCACTCTAGAGGAAACAAAAGCGTATGTTCTAGTATAAACGTCATCACTATGTAGGTGATTACATCACATCTCGTTTTGTATGCCAATTTATATTTATCTGTATGAGGTGAAGCATGCCCTAAGTTAGGGGTAATGGAACTATAAAGTCAAGGATTTTGAAACATGTTATACAGTAAAGAAACGGTGTTATATATTAGATGACTTTTCGGACACAATTTATTGTCCATATTCGTATCAAAGTGACTCTACAACTTTATGACCTTGTTTGAATAGTCCTGATTCTCTTCCCTTCTCCTTTCTGATAACGGTGCCAAAACTTTCCATATATCTTTAACAGGTGCTGCAGCACGGATCTTTTGTTGATTCGATAAACGCAGATTCAGTTATCAATCTCGCTCCACCCAACTAATTTAGTTTTTAACTCTGTCACTCTATCCCACCCTACTATTTGGTTGTGTGTAATTGCGTTCAGAGCTATAACCGAGCAACCTTTCTCTAAATTTGTTATCTTATTAGGATCTACTAATCTTGATTTAGCTAAGTTTTTGTTCTCTGTTATTATAATCGACCCCAGTCGACTACTTTGACTAACTTATGTATTTGACCTCGCAATGATTGCAAGGGATGTAGGAAGTGAGATTGCTTAATTGCATCGATGTGACTTTTAACCTACAAAGCTTGTTTCTCAGCAAGTTTGTTGGTTTAAATGCTAGCCACTTTAATCCCAGACAGTCTTATTGAGAATTCTTGGTGATGCTTATGAGGTGCCTTCCTTGTATGGTAACACAGAAGGGGCTTTAAATTCTCTCTCTCTCTCAACCCTGTCACCATTATCACCACCAATATTACTATTACCAGTAGACTTATTAATAACACCTGTGTTACTACTACTACTACTACTTCTAATACTTTTCTTTCGATTTCTTATGAATTTATTGATAAATTTAGGCTGATAATTGTTGAGAAGCAAGGTATTCTTGATGTGTCTAATTTCTTGTCGTAGATTTCTGGCATACTAGTCAGCTGTTTTGCCCTAGTACTTAGGCGTTTAAGTAAGCCTACTGGGATAAGGTGAGATGATTTGAAGTCCAGGTGGCGATTCAAATGGGAAGGTTTCCTATGAACACTAGTCTCTAAACTTCCGTCTTCTTTTCATTCATTCTTGCAATGCAATATTGCTAACTCACCTTCACCACTTTCTAAGTCACAGGTGGATTGGATTCCACTTACTTCTGAATTTATATATGCGAAGAACCTCTGATGTGTCCTGATTTGAGTACTGTAAATGTGTCATCTACATATGGGGACGATATCTTTGGAGTAGGACTAAATGTTTGAAGGGCCATGCGTCACCCAACTGTCCATAAATATGTCTGCGTCGATAGGGATATTTATGATGTCATGACAACCTACCCAGTTTGTTGATATATTTTATTTCGAAATTTAAAGACTGTTGATGTTAAGCATAATGTACTCCTAGCATGATTTTCTTGATGGACACCTTAGTTATATACGTATACCCTTTGTCATCCTTAAGCCCATTTCTAACTGTCTCTAGAGTCATGTCAATCGGTGTATTCGTGTAAAGGTTAATTATGTTAAAACTAAGCATTTTTTCGTTATCATCTAAATGTGTGTCATCTAATCTAAACTGTAAGTCATAAGAATTAGTAAGTCGGGATTTTGAGTGATTTCTTATTGGGACTAACACATTGCCAAATATTCAGACAACTGATGAATTGGAGTGTTTCTAAAATCTACTATAGGCCTGATGGGATAACCTAGCTTATGAATCTTAATAATACGATACATTCTACTAGGATTATTAGTTTTCGGCATTAATTTCATCGACTTTAACTCATGTAGAAACGGCTTCATTCAGCGTATCAAATCCCCTGAGGATTTCTCAACCTTATACATAATAGTATTCACTGTTTTCTTAATTTCCTCATATGGTCCTGTTGCTGTATGTTGATTCACTTTGCAGATGTAGTCAGATTTGTTGATTACAACTGCTGAGTTGCCTTTATCCGATTCGGCAATTGCTATATTGCTATCATTTTGAAAGTTCCTGAGAGTTTCTCAATCTGGCTTGGATAAATTAGATTGCATTTTCTTTTGTCGTTTCAATATTAGAGCACACTCTACTCTTACCTCATCTGCAATCGTCTAATCTATTGAACTTAACGCTATTTCTGTCTTGGAATGACACCTTCTGGTTTCAATTCATTAACCGCTACATTGAAGTTAAAGGTCTTTCTCTAACACTTTCACCTCTGTTGAGCTTAGGAATGTAGTTGAGAGATTGAGAATCCACTTCGACTTACCGATCACTAAAATCACAAGTGTTCACTACAACAGTCGAAAGTCGACACGTATCTGGCTCATTCCACCTCCTTTGTTTCTACCAATTCACTTGTACATGTCACGGCAGGTACAATGGAAGGACAGAGAGGAGGAATAACACAATATTTCATGAACACACTTGTAATAAAGTAAGCTTAAAGGAACTAAAGTACTTTAAAAGTTCCATTGCTAAACATTTGATGGGCACAGGACACGACGTCCAGACCTCGAGGGCATTTAATATAATTGATGAACAAAACAATGCCAAGTCACTAAGATTTGCAATCGCCATCCAAAGTTATGCAACCAAAAAGAGGCAATTGATTTGTTTTGTCATTCTGTATTTCCATCCTGTTTCATAACGAATTTCACAATGAATTCCTACTTCATCTCCACAAGTTTACTAGTTGACCATCTATCTACATGATTAACTCATCATATTCACTTATGTAATCCTTTCTAAGTCATTTGTTTATTGGTCACATGTAGCAACATGACAGTCTGACTATATAAAAATTAGATAACTCCATTTGAATCGCCCTAGTCTGTATCCATTCCTTCATTATGTCATCAATGGACTATCATCTTACTACTTATTGATATACTTGTTATTCCCCCTTGTTTCACTGGAACGAATTGTTCATCCTGTGTTGTCATATAGACTCCTATGTGAATGCCTCAAAATTGCTTGAATATTAGTTATGGTAATCTCTTGGTTGCGGATAGCAGAGTAA